AGTAGCAGGTTCCTTGTTCCTTGGCATCCCTTGTGATGTACATGATTTTCACATTGTGTCTATCTGCCCTGGGAGTGTCTCTTTGTCTATTTTTCGTTTTATTGTGTTTTAACTCAGAAGTGATTAGGTTTAGGATCCACCCTGCTCTGATATGATCTCATTAACATAACAAAAGAAAAACCCTACCTCCAAACAGGACCACATCCACAGGCACAGGGGTTAGGATTGATTTCAACATAGTTGAGGAAGGGGGCACAATTCAACCCATAACACATCATGCCCATCACAATTAATCTTTGTTTTTTCAAAATTTTCCTTACTGTTCTCCTCTCATTTTGTTCCTCACTTTAATGGAAGCACCATTAGAATTCCATTGTTTAATATGATGTTTGCAGAAATACAGCCTCTAGCATAGTTAGGAAGAGTATATCTGTTTTCATTAGAGTATTTCTGGAAAACGGCTATTCAATTTCATCAGATACTGTCTTCAGCCTCCATTGATATGACCATATGTCTTTTTTCCTTTGACTAACTCATTTTGATGAATGCAAAGTAAAAAGGGGCATCTTGTTCAAGGGGATAGGAGGCCTCTCTGAGAGGTGATATTTGGGCTTCCATAAAGATTACAGCTTTGAAAACCCTATAGGGCACCTCTACTCTGTTCTATAGGATTGCTGTGAGTCAGAATCAACTGAATGGCAACTGGTTTGGGTATTTTTTGGTTTGCACCTTAGCACGGGGTTGGGTGGAGAGAGGCATGGGCAGAGCAGAGAGGCCATGCCACTGGGTCAAGAGACAGAATAGCAGGCTGAAACGTGGCCCTCCGACCCAGAACCTCAACTTTTCTGAGTGATGAACACTTGGATTTCTCTCACTAGAAAAAAACACCCCAAAACGCTGAGCCCCTAAAGCCAAACAGAAAACCTAAAATCAGGAGCCACTGCCCTAGAGGGTGCTTAAGTTCACCCCTTGGGATGAGTCTCCTTCACCAACAGTTCTGGGTCTAGAATGAAAAATCATTACAGGAAACTGAGGCTGAAAGGGGAGAGGGTCCGCCAGCAGATCCAAGATGAGAAGGCAAATTGGGCCACTCCAAAGTTGGCCACTCCCGGACACGTCCACCAGGCGGGGGAGAGCGCGAACGGACGGTTGGGAGGTGGCTGGGGTGCAGCCCGACCTTCCTCCCTTCTACCCTCCCAGCCCAGCCTCGGGTCCCGCCTGCTGGAGGAGGCGGGTTCTGGCGCCTCGCGCTCTGTCTACTCCCACCCGGGCAGAGCCCGGGCAAACAGAGCCAGGCGCGCACAGCCGGGCGCGAACGGTCGTCGGTGCCCTTGACCATGATGGTGGCCGCGCTCCTGCTCAGCCTGGCGCTGCTGGCCCCACTAACTGCGGGCGCGGGCATGGGCGCGTGTTACGACGACGCAGGGCGCCCCCAACGCTGCCTGCCGGTGTTCGAGAACGCGGCGTTTGGCAGGCGCGCAGAGGCCTCACACACGTGCGGTCACCCGCCTGAGGACTTCTGCCCGCACGTGGGCGCGCTGGGCGCTGCGGCGCAGTGCCAGCGCTGTGACGCAGCCGACCCTGATCTCCACCACAACGCCTCCTACCTCACCGACTTCCACAGCCAGGATGAGAGCACCTGGTGGCAGAGCCCGTCCATGGCGTTCGGCGTGCAATACCCTACCTCGGTCAACATCACCCTCCGCCTAGGTAAGCACCGCCCAAGCACAGCCACCTGTCCTCATCCCATCCTGGACGGGAGACGGGCCTCAGCTGATGTGAGCCTGGATTGGGTGATGGGACGGAAATAAAGGGAGCTCAAGGAACAGTACATGTGCCCCCTAGTGGCCGGCAGGCTAGACTGAGGGTTGCCCCTTAGGGCTTTGAAGGCTCTAGTAGCTTTTTGCAGAGCGGTGGGCCTGGGTGCAATTACGATGCTCTGTAATGGTTTTTCACTCTAGATCCAGAACTGTTGGTGGGGAAAGGAGACTCACCGCAAGGGGTGAATTTATGCACCCTCTAGGGCAGTGGCTCCTAATTTTAGGTTTTCTGGTTGGCTTTAGGGGCTCAGAGTCTTTGGGTGTTTTTTCTAGTGAGAGGATTCCAAATGTTCATCAATCAGAAAAGTTGAGGTTCTGGGTCGGAGGGCCACGTTTCAGCCCGCTGTTCTGTCGCTTGACCCAGTGGCATGGCCTCTCTGCTCTGCCCATGCCTCTCTCCATCCAACCCCGTGCTAAGGTGCAAACCAAAGAATACCCCAAACCAGTTGCCATTCAGTTGATTCTGACTCATAGCAATCCTATGGAACAGAGTGGAGCTGTCTTACAGGGTTTCCAAAGCTGTAATCTTTATGGAAGCAGACTGCCACATCTTTCTCCTGTGGGTTCAAACCACTGACCTTTTGATTAGCAGCTGAGCCCACATTTGCTAAGGTGCAGGACAACTTAAAACCAACTGCTGTCAAGTTGATTCTGACTCATGGCAACTCCACATGTGCCAGAGTGGCACCTGTGCTCCACAGAGTTGTCAAGGCCGTGACCTTTCAGAAGTAGATTATCAGGCCTGTCTTCCAAGGTGTCCTTGAGCGGATTTGAATTACCGATCTGTCAGCTGGTAATCGAAAGTTTACCGCTTACTTCTGGCGAATCAGAATCCAGAGGCCTGACCATAGCCTTTGCTCTCCAGCCCCCCCCCCGTTATTTCAGGGAACTGGAATGCCCCCCACCTTTGGCCCAGCCAGCCCAGCCCCCTCCTCAGGCCTGTACGCTGTGTTAAGCATCTTATCTCTACAGCTCTTCCAGGGAGGTAGTGTTAGCACAAGCACACTCCTTTGTCTGCAATGTCCCCCAAAGCTTTGAAAACCAAAAGGTTGTTGTATGTGTATGTGTGTGTGTTTTTGCCTTCCTCTTCACCCAAATTAATACATGTCTACCCTCTAATTAGTGGTTTGCCCTCTCTTACCCTCCTACCCCTGGTAACCATCAGAGAATATTTCTTTTGTGTGAAATCCTTCTCTTGATTTTTTGCAATGATGGTCTCATACAATATTTGTCCTTTATGATTGACTAATTTCACTCCGCATAGTGTCTCTAGGTTCATCCATGTAATGAAATGGTTCACATATTCATCCTTGTTCCTTAATGGTGGGTAGTGTTCAATTGTGTGTCTGCCCCATAGTTTGTTTCACCATTTATCCATTGTTTGAGGCAGTTAGGTTGTTTCCATCTTTTTTTGCTGCGATGAACGTGAGTGTGGATATATCTGTTTGTGTCACAGCTCTTATTTCTCTAGGATTTATTTATACTTAGTAGTGGGATTGCTAAGGAACTTTGCTGGTGCAGTGCCTAAGGCATTTGACTGCTAACCAGAAGGTTGGCAGTTCAAATCCACTAGCTGTTCTGCAGAACAAAGTTTGGGCAAACTACTTCTGTAAAGATTTACTGCCTTGGAAATCTCATGGGGATTGCTGTGAGTCTGAATCGACTCAATGACAGTGGGTTGGGTTTGGTTTAATGGCTAATGATTGCAAACATTTCTTCATGGGCTTGTTAGCTGGCTGAATGTCTTTGGTGAAGTATCTTTCATGCCCTCTGACCATTATTCAATTGAATTATTTGTCTTTTTGTTGTTAAGGTGTTGAAGTTTTCTATAACTTTTAGAGATTAGCCCCTTGTCTGATATGTTGTTGCCAATTCTTTTTCCTGGTCTGTGAGTTCACTTTTTCACAGTTTTGATAGGCCTGAGTGTCTCCTTTGTCCCAGTCATCTATTTTGTCTTCTGGTGTTGGTGTGTTTTTGGTTATGTTCAGTAGTGTATTTATGCAAAATCTTTGAAAACCAAAATGTTTTTGTTGTGCTTTGTTTTTAATAACTCATTTTGACTGCTCAATCATTTTAATCTGAGGCTTTGTAGTCTTTTTTAGCCCACTTAGTGTACATATTCATACAGTTTGCTACTGAAATCTCATTTGTGTAGAACCTGCAGCCCTGCTCCCACTGGAGTGTTAACACAATATATGGTAAACACACTGCATCATCCTAAAATATGAACAATTCAGAGTTCTGAAACACGTCTGGATCCAAGGCATTTGAATGAGTTGAGTGAGACGTTTTGGAACTACATCCTCATTTTTCAGATGAGAAAGTTGAGACTAAGAGAAGTTAAATGTTTTACCCAAAGACACAAAGCTGCTACAGTGAGAGTTGTTGTGAACCTGTGCACGAGCTCCTTGACATGATTCTGCCATTTACCAACAAAGATGTCTCTTCGTAGTCCTAGGTGACAGCATCATGAGGACTGGGAAATGACACTGGAGTTGGGGAGCAGGAGCCGTCTCGTGGGAGGAGGCAGGTGCTGGCAGAGTGCTAGTGGCTGTCTCAAGAAACTCACTTCTCTTGCCTTGTCTGGGTGGAACTTGTGGATGGGGTGGGGCTCTACCCAGGCAGGGTGACAGGAAGCCAGTGGGGGGAAGGAGCTAGATGGGGCTGGCAGGACCTCAAGGCCACAAGGGAAGGAATCTGGGACAGGGTGGGGACTTGCGAGGGAGGCACATTGTTCCATGACAGAGGTTGTGGGTCTGGGTGATGTATTACACGTGTTGGTGAAACCCAGGGCCAGCAGGGGAAAGCGGCTCAACCAGACACTAACAAACAGGGCTGGGGAGGGGAGAGGGAGACGGCCAATGTTTTGTATTTTGAGGCGGTTCCCATCTGGTGGCTCAATGGTTAAAACGCTCCACTGCTAACCAAAAAGTTCGTCATTCAAACCCACCAGTGGCTCCAAGGAGAAAGCGTCAGTAGTCTGCTTCCATAAAGCAGACTGACAGTTCTACTTTGTCCTTTAGGGTCACTATGGGTTGGAATTGGTTCAAAGTCAATGGGGTCTCATTTGCCGAGTGTTTGCTGGGTCCTGTGCTTTAGCTTGTGACCTCCTGAAACTCTGCCTAGAACCCTTGGAGGCAAGGTGGTTCCCATTCCTCTATAAGAAAAAAACCTGAGGCTCAGAGAGGGAGGCCATGCACTGTAAGGGGCAGAGGTGAGACTTCACCCTGCATGTCTGACCCTGAGCCAGTGACCTTTCCATTATGTTGTATAGCTGCAGGCACATAGAAGTTGCCCTGGGAGTGTTTGTACAATGAATGGATGAATGAAAGAGTGAATGAACGAAGGTGTCACCTCCTCTGTCTTGTGTTTCTAGGTCTAGCTTGGAGTTCTATTTTGCTTACTCTGGGAGATGGAATCAGGTAAAAGTCACAAAACAAGGGCTTTGGACTCAGGTCCAGCTTAGCAACCACGGGGCAAGTGACTTTGCCTCTCTGTACCTCAATTTTCTCATCTGTAAAATAAGGATAAGAGTCGTTACTTCCCAGGATGGTTGTGTGGGTTCCATGAGTTTGGGTCAGCCAAATACTTACAGGCACCTTGATAGTTCTTCTGTGTGGCAACAGTCACTCTGCTGAGAACAGGTCAGAGCTGAGGTTCCCCTGCAAGGTGGGCTGTACTGTCAGGATTGAGAAATGCTGGGCCTGGCCAGCCTGGCCCCCAAGATATGCCCTGACCTCAGGCTCCATTTACGCATGATGGGAGCTGGGGACCCACAGCAGCTCCAGACTCAGCCCATTTTTGGTTCCCCGTGACTTTGGTCAACTCCAAGCTAAGTCAGAGATTGCATAATTTTGGGGGAAGGAGATGCCAGGGTCATCTGAGTATCCTCTCTGTCACACCATGTCCTTCTGGTGATGGGATTCTTCTTCCCAGTAGAGGCCCTTTCCTCTCAGGCCTCAGGCCACCTCTGCTGGCGCCATCCCTCACTCCCTCCACTCCTTGAAGGCTCTTGGGAGGGAAGAGTGGGCGGTCTGCTTTGGGGGGGATGCTCTGGAGGGAGCCGGGTGAAGGGCAGGGGAAGGAGAGGCCTCCAGTCAGCCTGGGATGGAGGTCGCTGCTTTCCCAGCCCCCTGTGATCTCCCAGACATCTGTTCCAAATCCTCTAGTTGCTAAGCTGAGCCTTCCTGTCTGAGATGAATGGCAGCAATGGGGTTTGGCTGCTCCCAGCCTCCACTGAGGCCCTGGGAAGCGGGCTGGGTCGGGGCCGGGTGACCAGCAAAGGGTGTGGAAGAGGTGGAAAGTTAGCAGGGGTAACAGACATTTCAAGAGACCACTCACCACATGCCAAAAACTCCACTGAGTCAGTACCCCTACCCAGCACAGTTCATTCTTTTATAGATGAGAAAACTGAGGCTCTGAGGTGCAGTCAGTTGCCTAGAGTCACACAGCCAATAAATAATGGAGCCAGGTTTTGAACCCTGCCTGGTGTGACCTCTGGCCCCTACCCCTGACTATACTTCACTTAGGAATGATGAGTGTTCATCATGCTTCAGGCCTTGGTCCTGGGAAGAACCAAGTCCAACCTTGGCTTTTTGGCAAGGGTGGGGGTGTATTTCTCCTTCAGCATGCGTACTTGCTTGGATTCCTGAGGACTTCCTGGAACCTCAAAAAGACCCCTGAGTCCCCCAGAAGATGAGCTCTGAGCCCCTGAGCCAAGGGGAAGCTGCAAGGAGGAAGGTAAATGGGCTCAGCTGCATGCCCTTGACCTCTCGTGTGTAGAGTTGAGCTCTTCACTGCATCCTTCTACTCATTTGCTCAGTATTTACTAGACTTCAGCTATGCTGGGTGTGGGAAGATGGTTGTGAGCAAGTCTCACACACAGTCCCA